TCAGAGAATAAAATAACTAATCCAAATGACTCATCATGTGAAAATTAAAATACATGTATCACTCTGCAGCTCCCTTGTGCAACTCAGGTACAACTTTCCAGAATGTCTGAGTGTACAATCTGTCAATTAATGTGAACAGATGCCTGGGGTTGATGATGATTGGTGTGGTCTTTCAGAAGTGGTGGCTCTATATGCTTAAGGTGGCCATACACTCTACAACCATCGCAAGACCTTAGTCTTGCGATGGTTGTAAAGGGATTTAAAAAACGTACGATCTGCCTATCTTGAACAGGCAGATCGCACTCTCGATGACCGCAATGCTGAACGGGCAGTGTGCGCGTGCGCACACCGGCCCGTTCGGCATTTGTCCGAGCACCGTTCTAACCAGCCGAGAATCGTACGATTCTCGGCTGGTTTTCGAACATGCTGGTTCGACGGAAGACGTGCGACCGTACAGTAGAAACGGTCGCACGTCTCCGTTCACACTGCTCGATTCTCGTACGATCGCGGGATTTCCCGCGATTCTCGTACGAGAATTGAGCAGTGTATGGGCACCTTAACAAAGAGTCAGTGATTGTGGAAGAACCACTGATTGTGTTCACAAACACCATTAATTATTGTTTTCTGTGCAATACAGCAAGGACAACCTTTTCAGCTGTGAATGCACAACATTTGAGTAGGAATGTGATTTGAACTGTATATGAAAATAGGCCTTTAAGTGTATATATGTCCTATTAGTTGACTACGCCACAGCATCATTAATATGGAGAAAATATATTATAAAATGCTAATTTAAATCAAAAAATTAAAAAAATTAAAAGGAAATGATGCAGAAGTATTTTGAAATCATATAGTTTGCTTGGAATTTAAATGCTATTGATGATAGCAGTAAATAATGCAGGAAATAATGCAGGAAATAATGCAGGAAGTACAAAGTGATTATCAGCATCTTTACTTATACTTGTAATCTAGTTAATCTATGAAAATGTTGACAATATTATATAATCACCACATATTTCCTATTTAAAATATTGTCTGATAGGTATTGAAATATGAAACTTCCTCAGCTATGCCCACATTGGCTACTTTTGGTGTAAGTCACATGAATAATGTTGGAAGGTAATTAGGAGGCCAAAGGTTGAGTAAATTAGTCATTTGAATTGATTTAAAGCAAATTTGCATTCCTGCTACGTAACCATAGCACAATGAAAAAAGATGTGATGAAAGATTAAAGCATAATTGTCTGTGCACCAAAATGTACATTTATACAGGATATTTAACAGATATGGATTGAAGCAGATAGAAACAGATGGATGCCTATTTTCTTGTAAAAATGTCAATAAAATGATAAATGACTCTAATATATCAAAAAATGGATTACTAAAAGGACTTTGCAATGCTTTTATGAAGTTACAGACAAAACAGAGGCTAAATACAGCAAAACAACATAGCATTTTATCTAGAAGTTATGGAAGAAGAAAAAAAAGCCCCCACAACTGTTTTCTTCCTTGTAATGAAGATACAATAAAAGAAATAACTATTTTGTGAATATTTTTACAAATACTAAGCTTTCAAATAAAAAAAACCCATTGAAGCAACACACAGGGGTTGATTTACTAACCTTATAAACACACCACGAACAAGTATACACCTCTGTAGTGTGTTCCCTCCCAGCATGATCTATGGGTGGAATCTAAACACCTTTGTAGTGTGTACACACCCAGCAGGTGTGTTGTGCAAAGCCAAGCATGAATTGCAAGGTGATGTTGTGTAAATTAGCTCTATGTTGTGTTGCTTGCGTTGATGAATGCAGGAATATAAATGCATGAGCTAACCATTTTTGTCTAAACTGTGAAGCAGCATTATATATGCATCATGTGCATGATTTTTCCATATATGGCATTAGTGGAAATATGCTTTTAGAGACTTTTTGGTTGATAAATACGTTTTGCTGTGTGAAAATCACACGCACCTGGTGCGTGCGTGTGTTTAGGTTAATAAATCAGCACCACAGACTCAGCAAGTCAGTAAATGATTTAACACTAAACTAGGTTTGCTAAAAATAAATTAAGTGACTATTTAGACATATTTCTTCCACTAAAGGAAAATACTAACTACATCAATTTAAAAAAAACATATTATTGTCAAATACTTTAAAAAAAATTTGATTTAACAAGTTTAATTTAAATATGTAATAGTTTAAAATTTTGGAAATATATTTTCCTAAAACAAAGTCCTGATTTTTCCACACTGAAACAATACTGTTCCAGTTGGATGGACTTATTAAGGAGTATAAAATGTTCACTAAACCAAATAAAGTTGTGAAGCTATGAATCATGTGCAGGGAAATTAAAAAAAGGATATCAACTTGCTTAGATGACTGAAGAAAACTAAGCTTTGTTATTCATTTTATTAATATTCTCTAATCCTTTAGTAAATCAATCCCACTGAGCTAGTATTGTTTAATTATGGCAAGATTAGGGCAATCTTAAATGCATAATTTCCAAAATGCTTTGCTTAGCTATTTTCCTATCCCATATATGTAAAATTGATTATCCCCTTACTGTACATTAAGAATGGGATTTGGGTTTAGTATGGGTTCAAAGCAAACCTAGTTTGTTCTCAGTTCACAAACATGGTGACACGTTGGGTGATTTTGTACCCATAGCAGCCAGTTACTAATAATGGCCTTTTAACTTAGGTAAGGTGGCTTGCCACAGCCAATAATTGGGACTTCGTTATGTGTCAGCCCCTTAACTATACAAAGCTGGATCCCCAGCAGACATTTGTCAGTGTTTATTGGAGTAGATAGCGAGAGCTGATAAACAGATTAGGTGCTGTTATACAATGCTTTTCAGTGTTATATTGTGCTACATTACTGTGAGTTGCAGTGTGGTAGGCTACATATTATTGTGTACCTCCCCACATGTTTACAGTCTAGAAACCCAAAGGTTCTTTTTAGGAACATTTATTTTGTAGGTGTAAAAACTGTAATTACTTTTATTTACTTTTTGCTTGGGTCTTTTTTTATTTCATAGTTCAGGGCATACATTTGCTGCTGACACAGGTGAAGCTGCTCTTTATTTACAGCATGCCACTGCAAAACCACCACACCTTTAGTGCATCAAAGCACCATATCATTATTCCTCCTATTGCCATAGCTGCCATTAATGTTAGGCAAATATTTTTATTCAAAGTCTCAAGAAGTCCTAAAGACCTTCTTAAAATTTTGAATAAAAAGTATTGTCTAAAGCCCTAAAGGGAAAGGCAGAAGTTCTGCATGTGGAGGTAGTAGGACGTGAGTAGGTGAGCACAACAAAGTGGTGGTTGAGTTGCACCATCTAAATGCAGGGCATGTCTGCCTTATCTTACTGAGAGTGACCATGCTTTAAAGCCACAGCATATGGAGGATGTAGTGGAGTTGATAGCAAACATTTTTTTTCTCCAAAGCACACATTAACCTATTTGTCTGCAACAGAAGCTTATGTGTAATAGTTACTTGGTGCAGGAGGATGATCCTGATCATGCTATGCTCCAAAATTCCATGTTTCAAATGTTCAGGATTTGAGGAAGTGAGATCCAGGGTCATAGAGGGAGAGGACATCAGGCTGGGAACAAAAAAGATCAGTGATATTCCTGCAGCTGTCACTTACTGCCAAGTGGCCTTCAGCGAAGGGAGGGAGTGAGGTGCCACACTGTACATGGGTGCTGCTGTTCTGATTTCCTGCTACTATCAACCATTGTCTGATGATATTTACTCGCTGACACAATGACCCACCGTCCCCAATGGTGTGTACCCATCACACTCCCACTGAATGTAAAACACAGGCAGGGAATCCTGGGTGACATCATTGACCAAATATTTTTAAAGCTCCTTGGTCAGTTAATTCCCAAACAGATGATAGGAATCTGTTATTTTATGGTAGTAGTAATACCACCCCAATTACAGATTTCCAGCTGATGTTGGTATTTTTATGGTGGTTCGGGCACATGAACTGGCCAAACTGTAATCAGTCTGTCTTTGGTCGAAACTCATGACTGACCTGAAACCTTTCACTAGTTTTTAGCAACAATGTACATTTGTTAATCAATTACCAAAGAAAAAAAACACAAAACACATATACAAAGCAGTGGATTGGTTATTATAATCTTACTTTTTCTGAAATGTTGTGCTGACAGTAAGTTTCCTGAATATAAGAAATTGCTTGGTCAACCAATATATAATCTCTTGCCAGCTCAAGAAATGCAGAGGTGGAAATTACATTCCATGCAATGCCTTGATTTATTCACATAGTTATCTGCTGTTACTGAATCTAAGAATGCCCTTGTTTCATTCTTCATGTTTTTTACTGAAAGGCTGGAAAATGTAATACAGTGTTTTCAATTACATATTAAGTTTGCTGTTTGTGTGCCAAAAATGTTTTGTGGAGCCCATGGAATTGAGGAAGATATTCATTTTCAGATATAACATTTCAGATATAACATTTCAGATTCTCCATACCATTTGTCAATAGTAAACAAGCCATATCCACCAATAGCAGTTGACCATAACCAAATTCATAACGTAACAGGATGTCACATTATAACTCAGTTAATAGATAATTTTATAACAGTGATAATATAAAATACAATTACATTAAATGGACAAAATTACATTTCCTTGAAAAAAAAGAACAGCAAATTTGACAGCCTTATTGAAGTTAATAAATGGATCATGAGAGCAGATTATATCAACTCCAAGCAGGGAAGATTTTTAATTATTTGTATAACAGAGGTCCATGCCTTAGATTTAAAGACCCCTCAATTGGTCCCTTGACAGCAGTCCACACTAAGATTTAAAAACTCTGAGACCTAGATGATTTATTGTAAATTTCAGCAACACCATACACATCTTCATATCTTTCACATATTTGCTCACCTTTAGGGAAAATATGTTGATGATCCTGAACACATAGTACCAAACACATATAATAAACACACATTTAAAGAGAAGAGTTTACCTTTTTGAGTAAAAGGATTCCCTCCCTTGTTTCTTTATCAGTAGATATGGAGAAAACACCATCACCATTGATGATTGAGTACCTGATGTCAGCATTTAGTCCAATGTCTGCATCATTTGCCTTGATTTTGCCAACTGCTGAACCCACTTGAGCTGATTCAGGAACATAAAGCTGATAATGTTCTGTAGAGAAATGTTTAGAAAATGAATGGTCAGCATAGATTTTAGGGCCAGAAACAAACCAAATTACGGCAGTAATGTTTATGGGCCTGAATTACTACAGTTTACCCATATATGCTGTTGCATCCACGAGTAAGACAAAATTACTACCATGTTCTCTTAGAGGGTTATTCACAAAAGAGTCGAAGGATCCAGCCGTGGCTTTAGCTGATTCTTCTGCTCACTTCGGCCTACTGAGCCCTTTGGTTCAGTCAAAACAAATGGCTGCTGTACGGGCTATTTACAATAGCCCGTACAGCAGCTGAAGGTAGCCAAGCATCTCAGCCTAACCGAACATGTATGCTTCGGCTCGGGTTAGCTGTAGTGAAACCCTACAGATCGGTTGGCTTCTGCCAGCGAAAGACAACAGCTGGGCGGAGCCAGCCATAATGTCACGACTGGGTCAGCACAGTTGTTGTACTTAAATGACATCCCAGCATTCCTGTAAAAAAGAAATAAGCTCATGTTTGAGTTTTTATCTTTAAAGGAAATAAGATACATTTTTTGTAGAATTGTTAACTTTCACATACAGTGTAACATGTTTAAATATTGATTATTTTAGTATTTAATATCTAATTTTTAAGGTTATACTTGTTTCTACACAAGCTCTTTTTCTACATTTGCCTTCCAAATGATAATGGCTCCAGGCATGAGCTGGGATTCTGTGGAGATTGCTGTGACTGAGAGAGTGAACTGAATGTTTGTATAGAAATGTCACCAGCACATCAATGATTCAATGAAGAATGTGAAAGTCCATTTATTGATAGCACTTTCGGGACCACACAGGGTCCCCTACTTCACTTCTACAAGTGACCTGAATGTGGCATAACATCCATATGACATCTCTCAGAGCTGTTAAACATATTTCCCTGTGGGTATAAAGCTGGATACACATAGATCAAATGTTGGCTGTTTCTGCAGGAATTGGCTTAAATTCAATCAGTGGGTGGCCCTATTTCCTCAACAAAAATCAATCATTAGATCAAATTTTGTCAAAGGGAAATGTTGGAAAATTATCAGTTGAACAGTGTTTGCATGTAATTAGCTGCAAGCTCTGTTGTAAATGCAAAATGTTAAAATACACATTGCTCAGTGAAACATATCTGTTTATAAGGGAGAAAAAAAACATTATTTCAGTGTTCAATGTTCACTGCAAAGGAAGACCACAATGTATACAATGACCATGGTGTACCCTTCAGCAGGTACGTTAAGCTGGATCCTCAAAAATCTATTAACTCATGCAAAGCTGCATGGGCACTAATTCTGTTTACTTTAATCAAAGTTTACTGAGTTTAAACAAAGAACAACAGCATAAAAGTAAAGGTCAGGGGAAGTATCATAGGAAAAATCATTATTATAGACTTATTAGTATGAATCAGATACAGCTTAAATATTGGTAGAACAGTTATGGACTTGGCAATTAATTAGAAAAAGGGGAGAGAGAAACAAAAAAACAAAGAAAAAGTGGCAGAGGTGGGAAAAGGAAGGAAGAAACGAGAGGGCATGAACGTCCTGTTTTCAATTCAAACAAATAGGCAATCAATAACATAGAAAATAGGCAGAGTAAGCATGCATATATGAATATACTGTACCTAAGAAACAACCTTTATATATAAGGGTGTAAGTTTAAAGTCGATCGAATGGTGCTATAGATTTTCATACTTACCAAGATTATCTCATGATATACAAGATAGTTCCTCCATCAGCCTCATATAATCAACCTTATAACGCCACTCCTTGGTAAATTGATTTTTTTGGGATTGCCAGTAGGTAGGTATCAAGAGTTTAGCTGTGCTCAATAGATGTGGAAACTAATTATTTTTGTAGTTATTCCTTTCTGGTATTCTTTGTTTTCTTTCAGTACATTGAGCTATATTTTATACTGTCATAGTGATGTCATATAACCAGAATAATTACAGACTATAGGAATAGACTGATTAAGAAATGTGTAGCCTAAGCATAATATCGCCTTTTTACATTATAGAGTCTGTTGTTTTACTTGGAAATACAGATATAATTTTAGACTGAACTGAAGAGAAATTATTTATTTTCCATGCTTAGATAGCTGTGTAAAGAATTCCTACCAGGTACATCATGATCTGCTGTGCAACAAATTCTGCAAAGATGCAGCTAACAGAGAAAGAGGAAGATTCTTGTTTAATATCTGAATCCAAAGCCATATATTCATACTGTGACTTCTCAGAGCGGAAGGAGAGAGTCAACACATACTGCTCAGTAAAAGCTCACAAGAAATGATGTTAATCTTAATGAAAGAGGTCAAATTAACTTCTCTGCACACTCATACCTCACAGGCTGATCAGCTATTTGAGTCACACACAGAAAAACTTTACTTTTGCGACTTTGTTCAAATCTGTCTGTTAAAGTACAAAGTACATATCTCTTTGCTGATTAGTTTGTCAGACCCCTAATGTCGCCAAGGGACTCCTGAAGAAGTTGATGAAGCAGGCATCTGCTTCACCTGCTTCTTCTCCTGGCTCTAAGAGCCAGTGAATGTAAACAGTGACACTGGAAGTCATGTAATACACATAACTTCCGGGTCCAGTGATTGGAGGAGAGATCAGTGGCTAGAAGCCTGCTGATATCGCTCCAATCTGTCAGTGGAGACCTGCTGTGTTGGTCCCGGTGCCCGCACGGGGACAGTAGAGTCCGGGGAAGCCAGCGGCAGCAGAGGGGAGGCACATGGCGCCGTTTGGTACAAATGATCCGACGCCTGTACAGCCGCCAGATTGCTGTTTAAAACAATACCAAGAACATGGCTGCAGCAGCAGCAGTGTTCTTGGTATAACCACTTCAAGTGGATGATGTGTATTTACGTGAACCTGCATGAAGTGTTCAAATCATATGCAACTTTAATCAGGGGTGGCTGCATGCCGATAAAATGAAAAATGGTTAACTAGTTAACAAGGGGATGTATTGCAGGGACAAGTCTATAATTTTGCCACTTTATAGATCATTGGTTCGACCTCATCTGGAGTACGCGGTCCAGTTCTGGTCACCAGTACTAAGAAAAGATGTCCTTGAGTTGGAAAAAGTCCAGCGAAGGGCAACCAAACTAATTAGGGGCATGGAGGACCAGAGCTACGAGACGAGGCTACTAAATTTAAACATGTTCACATTAGATGTGAGGAGATTAAGGGGGGATATGATTTCCATGTACAAAATGTTCAATGGTGGTAGCAACATTAGCGATAAACTGTTTAAAATTAACTCCGTTACAAAAACTAGAGGCCATAACCTAAAATTGGTGGAAAAAAAATTCCAGCACAAGGTGCGAAGGGGGTTCTTCACAGTAAGATCAGTTAGGGTCTGGAACTCACTGCCACAGGCGGTGATTTCAGCAAATAATGTGGAATTGTTCAAGAAACTTTTGGACGATTTCTTAAGGGACCGTAATATACAGGGGTACGGGTACTCCTAGAATGAGATCCTAATAGGTTGGACTTGATGGACTAATGTCTTTATTCAACCTCAAATACTATGTAACTATATACAAACACCAACAAATGTGATATCACTGTTTTCTTTTCCATATCTAGCTAATCTAACTAATAGCACAAGGAACATCCTTGCAGAGTCCATGTGGCACACACAGTATAGCAGTCATCTATCCACAGCCATCTTAAGAAGACAGAAGAAACAGGTGGAATCCATTCCAGCCTCTCTGTGCTTTCATCTATGTTTCTCTTAGCTACCCTGTGCAGACTGGCATGTGTCTCGCTTTTCTGTAGCCATAGCATAGAGGTAAATTGTGCTGGACATTTTGGAATAGTCTAAAATAAATTGATGGGAAGCTGTTAGAAACAGAGTGAGAGAAATTTATCAAAACTGGAGTATACAAAATCTGGAGCAGTTGCCCATGGCAACACATCAGCGTCTCTCTTCAGTTTGTTCAGTTAATATTTGAAAATGAAAGAGAGAAGCTGATTGGTTACCGTGCACAGCTGCGCCAGATTTTGTGTTCTCCAGTTTTGATAAATCCCACTCAGTGTAATTTAGTGGCAGAAAACAGTCTGTGTGAAATAACAAACAATATTTGAGCTATTTAAAGGCTCCTTCACACTAAGAAGACCAATGGTTCTATATGCTCTCTTCCGAGCTCCTTGGCCACATGGCTTCTTTTAAAGAATGTCTTTATCTGTCTCATCAATTTTTTTTATGATTTTACAGTAACTAGCTGAGAGGTCTGACAACTTTGAACAACCCTTTAACAAACTGCCAGAAGTATTCTTAAAATCCAACAAAGGGACTGAGTTCCGTGATGGTCAGTTAACTAGTTAACAAGGGGATGTATTGCAGGGACAAGTCTATAATTTTGCCACTTTATAGATCATTGGTTCGACCTCATCTGGAGTACGCGGTCCAGTTCTGGTCACCAGTACTAAGAAAAGATGTCCTTGAGTTGGAAAAAGTCAACCGAAGGGCAACCAAACTAATTAGGGGTATGGAGGACCAGAGCTACGAGACAAGGCTACTAAATTTAAACATGTTCACATTAGAGGTGAGGAGATTAAGGGGGGATATGATTTCCATGTACAAAATGTTCAATGGTGGTAGCAACATTAGCGATAAACTGTTTAAAATTAACTCCGTTACAAAAACTAGAGGCCATAACCTAAAATTGGTGGAAAAAAAATTCCAGCACAAGGTGCGAAGGGGGTTCTTCACAGTAAGATCAGTTAGGGTCTGGAACTCACTGCCACAGGCGGTGATTTCAGCAAATAATGTGGAATTGTTCAAGAAACTTTTGGACGATTTCTTAAGGGACCGTAATATACAGGGGTACGGGTACTCCTAGAATGAGATCCTAATAGGTTGGACTTGATGGACTAATGTCTTTATTCAACCTCAAATACTATGTAACTATATACAAACACCAACAAATGTGATATCACTGTTTTCTTTTCCATATCTAGCTAATCTAACTAATAGCACAAGGAACATCC